TTCATAAACATTGTCTTACCGCTTGGAGGCAAATTCAAGCTGGGTAGAAATCTTGGTATTCTGAGACCTCAGGTCCGTAACCTGTTCCTGGAGCTTCTCATTTTGCTCATTGAGCAATTTGTCATTCTCTGCCTTTTCTTTCTTATAGCTCTCAAAAAACTCCTGCAACTGTGAAAAGTGTGGAACATACACCAAGGTAAATATTGGGTTGCGTGCAAACCAGAGTTAATCTTGTGTACATGGAAAAGGTGTACTGGACAAAGATCAGTTGGTACCTGCTTAAGGGCAGCCTTTGCTTCCACTGCTTCTGTGGACTCTGTCGCTGGTATGGCAGCTGGGGTCGACATAGCCTGTGGCGTACCTGACAGGCGCTTAGGGGTTGATGTCAGAGACATTTCTTCTGGTGAGCTGCTTGGAGCTACATAAAATACAAAACCAACATCTCCGTGTCAAAGAGGAAAGCAAAACACCCAGTACAGTGGTGCCTCGCTAGACAATGATAATCCGTTCCACTGAAATCGCTGTCTAGCGAAATCATTGTCTAGCGAAAAGCAAATCGTCATCTAGTGAAAATCAGTTTGCAAAGCAGGGACCAAACATTGTCCAGCGAAATTCCCCCATAAGAATCACTGTTTTGCGAATCGCTATAGCGATCGCAAAAAGTCGGTGTCTAGCGAAAACACTGTCATGTGGGGTAACTGTCTAGAGAGGCACCACTGTATATATTTATTATATCTATACACGATCCTTTCTCGTATGAGTTTGGAGAGTACATTTCCTCCCCACTTCACCCTCTTTTATTGCATAACAATTCTTGGGATCAGTTTGACTGAATGAAAACAACTAGCCCTAGGTTGCAAATGGTCAGCACATCACCCGCTGGTTGTATGCAGTTTCCCATTGTGTTCTGAAGCTGCTCAGAAGTCCTCTCAGACCAACACAGGGGGAGCATGCACTTTACATTTAACAGCCCATGGTTTCAAGTTAAAATGCTGCTTCTCTGCCATTGATTCAACAACAGTATGAACTCTGCTAGGCTTAGAGGGTCTTGGAAATTGCTGATCACATTCATTTAAAATTGTTTTTGTAATGAGTGGTAGCTAAAAAAAAAGAACCCCTAAGATCTGTATTCAGAATACAGTGGTGCCTCGCTTAACGATTGCCTCGTTTAGCGATGAATTCGCGTAACAATGTGTTTTTTAGAAAATAATATGCATCGTATAACGATGTTTCCTATGGGCGATTTTCGCTTAGCGAAGTTTGGGACCATGCTTCACATAACGAATGCGATTATAGGTCCCCTGCTTCACTTAACAATGTTTCTTTTTTCAATTAAAAAAGTGTCTTAGAAGGGTCAAAAACGGTTCTAAATGCTTGGATTCGTTAGAGGACCCCTTAAGTCATGTGCAAACCTGATTTGGCTTTGATCTGACTTTTCGTTAATTTTTTGCAGAAGTTCTAGAAGTAGCTTTCTACCTACTGAAACCTGTCATATCATTTATTGTCATGATAAATGAACAGAACTTGGAAAAGTTATTTTTCTAGACTTTTTTAGGCATGCTGGATATGGATTACTATCCCAAATGTAAATGTTTCCAAGTTATGCAAATGATATCAGATCTTCAGACTAGCTGGAAACAGCCATCAATACATCCACACAGTGGACATTCTGGTGCATGTAGATTTTTCTTCATGTGCATGCATGTGGGAGGAAGGGAGTCAGTAAAATCCTGTTTTACATGGCTATGGATGGAAGAGGAAGGAACCAATGGCCTATCCCAAAGAGCATATTTAGAAATGTATTGAGTCAGCTTCAATACATTCCAATGGAGGAAACATTGTTTCGCTTAGCGATGTTTCCTATGGGTTTTTTCGCTTAACAACGGCAATCCGTTCCAATTGGAACGGATTAACCGGTTTCCAATGCATTCCTATGGGAAATGGTGTTTCGCATAGCGATGGTTTCACATAGCAATGTTTTTTTTGGAACCAATTAACATCGCTATGCGAGGCACCACTGTATTATGCAATACAATAAAAAAACATTAGCTTGTGAAACTGTTAAGGGAACTTTGAGGGCTGCTGGTACATTCCCATTTATAAGGTTACTCACTGAATGTGCCCAGAACACCAACCATCTAATGCCTATTTGAGCTGTAACTCATAGAGAAAAGCCTGGATTTCCAATAGGACCTTACCTTGCAATGGAATGGCAACTCCAGTGGTTTGTGCCAGCAAGATGCGATACATGTCACGCTGACGAACAATGGAGTCAACAAGCTGCATCTGGTGCTGGCGGGACTCACTCAATTTTTCTAGTTCCTGGATAGCTTCATTAAGTTGACTTTGTAGCTCAGAAATCCTGTCATGGTGAGAAATAATTTTAATAACCCTAGAATATTTAGGCTGGGTAACAAAGGGAGAAAAACTGTTTCTAAAAGTTCTCATAAGGTACAATTTATAGAACACTGAACTAGGAATTTCAGTCCAGCATTCTAAGGGCAGGGATGAGATAGGTCCCTTTCTTTCACCATGTAAAGAACAGTCTTATGAACAGAGCTTTAGAAGAAGCACACCATGTCTTGAAAAACTTCACCAAATACTCTTCTAGTTTCTCTTGAACTCTTTCTGTACTATCTTCTCAAACAACACCCTCCAGAGTATTTCAAATTTTACTTGAAGTGAAATGCTATGCCAGTTCTATGTGTGAGGAAAGCTGGCAGTGTTAGGATACGATAGCTTCTAAAATAAGGGCTTGATGTTTAAGGTTGCTACAAGGAGAGGCAAGGAGCCAGCACACAGATTAAAAGATGAATCAACCTCTCAAGACAGCATTTAGTACCAATATTGTTTGAAATATCCAAAAGAATACATGGCAGAAATAACATTATGTTTGACATGGTTTCACATTTTGCTACCAGCATTTCAAGCATTTATACTAAGAAATGATTATGTGCCCAAGCCTGTTTTCTCCATGGTTCCCATACTGTGACATGGAAACACCTGAAACATGGGGCCCCTAACCTTTAGGGGATAAGGCCAGGGGAAGGGTTGACCTCAATCCGCCCTGAGTAGACATATGTCTAGAAGGGCGGGATAAAAATCTAATTAATAAATAAAATCTAATAAATAAAGGTTATTTTATTTTTAACCACAATTCAGCTTAGTTAATTTAAATCTGTTTGCAGTTTCATCTTCACTCATAGATGGCAGACTTCTTCAAAAAGCAGAAAAGAAAACTGCAAATGGGCCTTGCCTTATCAGTTTCAAAACTGGGCAAACATTTGGGTGGAAGGGAAGGAAGAGAAGAATAGAAGGAGGATAAAGAGAGAAGCAGCAGCAGCAGAGAGAAAGAGAAACAGTATCTGATTGGGAAATGAGAGTGAAAGAACATCAGGGTGGATACAGAGAACACTTAGCTCTATGGAGGAGAAAGAACACTAGGTTAGCCTGGAGAATAAAGGACAGTTAACTGAATGGGAGGGAAAGAGTTACTTCTAACACTGTTCTCTCATTAGAAAATGGGAATTACTATTATTTTGATAATAGAAGAAAGTCATCAAGGTGAACAGAACCTTGGGTTTGAACATCTAAAGACAGTGATGAAGTGGAACATACTTTGATGATGTGTTTTCTTGCTCCTCTTTCTCTTTAGCTTCGCCCAGCTCTCGAAGAGCTACTAACAGGCGCTGATTCTGTTGCTGAAGCTCCTCAATGTTTCTGTATGAGACCAGATGTTGGCTTATTACCTCCGAAGAGCTGCTGATATCAGCCGAACTCACTTCTTCATCACGAATGACGTGGTTGCCTCTGGCTTCTTCAAGTTCCATCAAAAGCACTCTTATCTACAAAGGTGAAAACAAATTGTAAATAACACAGAAGCCTCCAATGCTGCACTTCTAAATCCCAAGCTCTTAAATGCAACACACACAAAAATGCATCTTCTTCAATGCCTGCAATATATGACTGGCTACTACACAGATAATTTCCTGATTATATTCCAGTTTAGAACAAATGAATCACACTTCTGAAGATGTTTAAGGAACTCATGAGCTCTATTCTCAAACAGCTGATATATCTATGTGTAGGCTACAGAAAGAAAATCAAAGATATTGATTTCTTCTCTCAGGAGAACCACAACCACAATGTGTTCCTAACCAACACCTTCATTACGTTTGGTTCCATTCCCCAATGATACAAATATAAAAATTAGAATCAGTGTTGTCTGACTATTTTTTATTTCCTTATGTATTATAACAACTCTCCCAACAGATTAATATTCAATACTACATTTTTACTTACTTTCCCTTGGTTTTATAAATAAACAGGGAATGACCCAAATCCTATTGCTTAGTGCAGTAAATCACATCATCATCATCATCACCATCACCACCACCATCATAATCATCAATAATAATAATAATA